GGCTTGGCGCTTCCATTTGGTTCTGAAATGTAAGATTAAATTTGATGCTAAATCTTATAAAAAAATATATAAACCGTATTTTGTAAGCTTTTCTTATGGAAAAGAATCGTGACGCACTAATGGAAATCCGAATTGAGGCCGGTAAGGAATCATTGAGGCATGAATATATTTTAAACACTTAATTTCCTACTTTCATGGAAGATTCTTATTCTTACCAAATACCTATTTCCATTAGTACCCCCACTCCCTCAAAATTTAATAGCTCTATAAAATATAGCCATCAACCCGGAAAGACGCTCCTTAAAAACCCTGTTAGAGCAGCTGGAGCGAATGGGGGATGATGATGGATGACTACCCCCATCTCGCTCCAAACTACTAATAATTGATAATGACCTCGGGGCGAAGACATTAAGACAAGAAGCATCCCCCATTCGCTCCAGGACCCTAATTTAATCATGTACAGCTCCGCGGCGGGGCCGTTTTGATCGTTTATTGCTGGCGGATGGTTGGGGTGAAGGGAGGGGGGTGGTGCTCTATTATTCTTCTCAATATCTTGCCTGGCATAAGACCCCAAATTGGTTTCGAATTAGTGGTGAAATGGCGAATGCAGGGATACGGTAATAGGGTAATTTTGGAATTTCGGTGAGTTATGGTCCGGAAAAATAAAAAGTTGAGGTATCCTATCTGTTTTTCTGTATTTTTTAACTACCAACCGGCGATTCTGGTACCACGTCTTCACTTGAACATCCGAGAGTCCCATCCTTTGCGCAAGATCCATCCGGTCTTGCACGTTCAGGTATTTGTGCTTGTCGAACATGGTCTCGAGTTCCTGAAAAAAATGGTTGGCTACGGTAATCTGACGCTTTTTAGGTTTAGAGCCCTACTTTTAGGTATTACAAAACTGACTCCCTGTTGTATAATTATTTTAGGCTTAAAAACATACTTGAAGCTGCTTGTCCGTAAAAATCGTCCTCGCCTTTCGCGCCTTTTTGCTGCCACACTCCCGCGAAACCGGGCTGCTTCTGCCCTCGCTGCCGGCCGACGGGGTGCTGCAGTCGATTTTTCGGTCTCCAGGCGATTCGAGGTCGATGTTATCTAAAAGGTAGCGGAGGTTATTACGTCGTAAAAAACGTCGGCAGTCTACGGTACTTTCCGCTACGCACTACATCTTGCAACCACGACTTTAGTACACCTTTAATGCCTCCTGCCCAACTTATTCTCCACCTAACCTTGCCCGGAAATTCTGGGTCAAAACCTTTGACGAGGTAGCTTGGGCGCGGGCGTCAACGGGGCTGTAATTACCACTCGACACCCACACGGCTCATAAGCGGACTGTCAAGAGGTATCGCGCGGATCGGCCGCCTCCTCGAATGGTGTCGGCGCGGTGTATGTAATCGCCCACTTGATCCAATAACGCTAGCCCCCTCACCGGCGAACGATTGGACCCTACCAAGTACATGCTACACCGATCCAGGGCGTACGGTTGGGTCATCGAGTGAGGGATATTGGATTTTTGCGGGTTGGTGACATTTTTTGAGCCCGACTATGGGGCTTACAGGGGCGTGAAAGCCAAAAATATATAACGAATCTCGCAGTTCCGACATTTTAATGGGCAGCTCAAGTCAAAAACTCATAGTGAAAACATCGTTGAAACGTCGTTGAAACACAAAACATGTTGAAACGACTTTCGAAGGCCATTGAAATAAAAACTGATAACGCTAACCGTTTTCTAAAAACAATTTTAAAGGTATCTTAAAGGCAGAAGGTGCTATATTTGTGCCCTAACGTCTTTGAGGGAAGACAGTTTTGATAGGTTAGCTGTCGAAAATAGATAACTTTAAGGGTCTATTGAAGACAAATTTTTCGATTCGGCCAATTCCTATAATTTGTCGATGGTATTTTAAGGTGTTATCTGCAGAATTTTTAGAATTTAATTTACCCTCGATTTGCACCCCACTACACCACCATCCAATTGACCTCGCTGCCCCCGGTCATCGGAGCCAATTGATACCTAATAATTCCGGGCGGATGACCCGGGTTCGAACCCTCCACCCGCCGCACTAATCCCCCAATACAATAATCCCATCCCCTCGCCTGTAATGGGTGATTTTGATGGGCCATAGGTATATTGTATACAAGGGCGCAAACCGGCCAGCCACCCGCCATCAACTACCGTAATAGACGCACAGATATACGGTAATTGGCGGTGACGGGGGCAGGGTTTAGGAATCCAACAATGGGCCAAAGTAGGGGGATGGGCTAAGGCGGCGGGCAATAAATTTTATGGCAGCGCCAAAGCCCCCCCTAATATTAGGATGGGCGTGTGGATTTGGGATCGAAGCTACTTGGGGAGGTGGAAATGGTATGGTTAGGGGCAACTGGAGTTCCCTAAAGGTCTCTGGCAGTCAAATTTGGATTTTGAGGAGGCTCGATTTTTCATAGGCGTTGAGAAAATACATTTAAGATGCGTTAGAAAACCATTTTGAAAAATTTGTGAGAAGAGGTTACGGTATGAAAAGTGTACCTGAACACCCACATAGTCTGAAATGACAAAAACACGCCCGCTAACGTAAATTTAAATTTTTTCGAACACCCACCACTCTCCCCACTCGTATTTGCCGAAATATCCATCCCCTTGTGCGCATCAAGCAGGTCTTGAATCCGGAAGGTAGTAGGTGTCGATGGCATCGACGTGAGACCCTTCGTCGGCAAAATCGGACCCGGCATCGCGGAAAGTTGCGGAGGCTTTGCGAGCATGGCCATGGCATGCGGGTCGAGCATGAAATGCGGGAACAGGAACCGTGGGTCCAGCATTCTGAATAATTGAACTTAAGAAGAAACCACAGGCAAGAAATGAGAATACGAAAAGTAGGAAACTTCCAAAATTCAAAAAGACAGACGTTCGGCTCACAGATACAGTAAGTCGAACCGATTAAAACGCACAAGAAGTAAAATTCTAAACGCCATAGAAGAGGCATAGAAGTTTCCAGCTCTGAAAATTTTTCAGAACGCCGTCTGCCAGCTTGCCTGGCGTACAGATTGGACGAAGGCCAGAACGCAAGAAATCAAGAGTTAGAGATACTATGCAATCCATAGGCATTAATGACAAGTAACTATGGTAAAATATAAAGCGGAAAATACGGAAGCTGAAAGACAAACGTAAAAATGTCAAAACTTCAAGGAGATGTCAATACAATTTCGCAAAAGCATTCCGCTACAAAGCAGACCCAGAAAGCATCAACCCCCCCCTACCGTAACCCATCGCTAAGGACCTCCCGCTAGCTGGAAGGCACTAAACGGATAGGTGCTAGTGGCTGGGTGGCAATGTCTAAAAAGGGGCGGGGTTTGGTGCAGGACGAGGAGGTGGTGGTAGAAGAGGAGGATGAGGATCAAGACCCCAGGCTGTGGAATGAGGGCGGGGCCTCGGTTGGCTCCAGCCAATCGGGCGATTCTGCCCTGTTGAAGACCTTCAACTAACCCCCCAAATTGACATAGGCCCGCCGGACAAATTGTTCCGAATAGGCGATGTTGGCACGCCCAGTGGGGAGAATTAGAGAACTAAAAAGTATAGAGTAAAGAAAATAGAGGGAGAAAAAAGAGAGAGAGAGAGAGAGAGAGAGAGAGAAAGGAGAGAAAGAGAGTGAGTGAGTGAGTGAGTGAGTGAGAAACAGAGCACGTGGTAGAGGAAAGAGGGAGTGAGCGGGAGAGTCAAAGATAGCTTGAGAGATAGAGAGGCCGTGAGTGAAAGAAATCGGGAAAAGTCGGCTGTTTCGCAAAATAAAATGAAAACAAAGATTTTGTGGCTTGATCATCGAAGCGAAATTGGGGCGGTTTGATGCAGTAATCGGTGAGTAATGGACATCAGCTATGAACAGAGCCTGGCAAAATAAATAAATGCGGTATCCAATCCTCAAGCATTACCTCCAACGCAATCTGCCCAGATCCAGCGCAACCAACTAATTTGCCCGGGGAATTACCGGGCTAATTTGTGTACTCGGCTGACACCCCGCAGCCGAGCCATTGAGCCCCGGACATCCGTGCCTCGATTTTGCAGCCCCGGGTCCAAAGGCAGCCGCGATGGCCTGAGATAATAATTCCTCCAGGAGCTAGTGGCAGATTTTTACCCGAGAGTGCTAGGTATCGTAGGATCCAGGTGGTATGTCATTACCTCGGGGAGAAATCTAGACAGTTACATATAGGAAAAGCTGGGTTGGTTAGTTAGTTCAGTTATAAGTTTGGGGATGGTGTAAGGTATCATTAAGCTTAGTTGATTCGGTTTTTAGCTAACCGCTTCCATACCTGTCGATATCGCTACGTTGCCCTTCTGATTTCGTATTGCTATTTCGTCGGCTGCTGACGTACTATTTACAAAGTTCCAAATTTTAATCAGGTTCAAACATGCGACCATAGCTAGGAAAACGGGCTGGAAAACAATCGGGATAAGCCTTTAGGATTCCTTCGAAAACCCCTTTTCTCACGAGATGATACGCCAGCTGCACCTTGCTAATTTGCTGCCAGGGAATTAGGGATCATAAGTGATGTTTTAGGGTAGGAAGTGGCCTGATTTTCGTAGCTCCAGGACACGTTCTGTCACTCGCCACATCCGGACGGCAGATTTTTCAAACTTGTTCGATAGAGGGTTGGTATTTGCATAAAATCCATCGATACCCCTTGAACAACCAATTTTAGGACACTGCCCTCGTTATTTACTTGATTTTTTTTGCGAGCTTTCTATGTTCTGTCAATTTTATGAAATCATAGCTTAATATGATTGTTTAGACCATTTATCCATAAGCAAAATAATCATAAATATTATACTTCCCCGTCATCACAGCAGATTGAATTGCAAATTGGTGAATACGTATCACAGGGTGCAAGAGGTTTTTGTCCAGAAACGACCTCAATAAATTAGACAAAGCAGCAGTGTGTTGAGATAAGTAAGCCGGTAGGGTATAGAACATTGCAGATGCCGGAATAATAAATTCACTGTTTCGAATTTATAACCCATTCCATCGGTGAAAGAACGAGGAGAAGCCGGAGGAGCTGGAGGCATCGGGTGAAGCTGAAAATTTGGAGATGAAAGAGCGGGATGACGGGAGAGAGCGAGGGAGATAAATAACGAGAGAGACAGAGGCAACGAGAGGGAGAGGGAGAATGATCTTACCTGCTTCCGTCGTCATATCATACATTGTCCGATATTCTTCATCGCTCAATTGCAACATCGTCCTCAAAATATTCAACAGCTGCCTCCGCTCTCCAGCCACTTTTTCGGGCCGCATAAACTTAAAAAACGGTATTTGTTGATTAAGATTTTTATTTACCTGGAAAATAATATTTTTGATGTATTCGGTGTTATTGATGTGATTTTCTCGTTCAGAATTTCGTTGAATTCGACGGATTTCTTCTTTGAGGACGGAAATCTTAAATGGACCGTTTAAATGTTTCCTTCACTCTCCAACTCTCTCTCTAGCTTTCTCTCTCTCTCTCGCTCTCTCTCGCTCTCACCGTCTCTCCCGGTCTCAAATATTTACCTGGTTACTGTACAGCTCGTTTTGACCCTCACTATCAGCTAGAAGTTCTCGAAGGGTTGTATTCTAATGGAGAATTTTGCTCTGGAAATTAGGGCGATGATCCTACCTGCTGCTCAGCCACTTTTAGTGTGTCTTTTACTTCAGAGATCGTAGCCAGGGAGAAGCTTTCATCCCCGAAAATCGATCCCTCGACCCGATCGGACTGTTTTTCGCCAAAGAGGACGTCATGGAGGGTTGTTTCGGGAATTGGTTCCGGGGATTCCCGGAAGTCACTGATTGAGGAGCTGAAAAATGGATGCGCTTACCTTGTTAAAGCATAATTAGGCATATTACGCCAATCGTTAATTGCACTTACTAGGTCTGCTGCACCGGTCTGGGCTCTCGGCTCTCGGTGTATCTTTGTTGATGTGAGGGAGTTACGGGAGTTGGTGTGCTACTGCTTGGGATCGCTTTCTTCAAATATACATTAAAAACTAACTAAATCTTTTGACATACTTGGGCAGTATCCAATTTCTTCTGCAAATCGTCCCGCTCCCTTTTCAACGTATCAATCTCCGATTTTTGTTGGAAATCCTGTTGCTCGTAGCGGATGAGGTCTTGTTTACGTTCGTGGAAAACCTTAAATTGGTCTCGTATTGAAAAATTACATCTTCAGAAACCCGTACCTTGTCCAAATTCCCCTGCTGAAGCTGCTTCTCCCTCTCCAGGGCTTGTATCCCACGATTCTTCTCCTCGACCATTGCGCTCTCATATCGAGATCTCAACTCTCGCAAATCGTCCATGGCACGGGTGAGGGAAGACATGTTTGAATCGGCTAAAACGGGTGGTTTCCGTCGTTTTTCGTAATTTCCGACCTTCTGTCTTCCACTTATTCGCTTCACGTTCGGATCTCGCTAGCTTTTCCGCCCAACCAACCGAATCTTCGGCTCGAGACGTGGCTTCGGCACTAAAAAATGGATTATAAAACTTCTTAATGAACTGAAATTAAAGCTTGCCGATCGAAACATACTTTAGCTTTTCAATGTCGGCTTCTCGAGCTTCTAGTTTCTGCTTAAGTTGAGCTATTTCGTGGTTGAGATTGTCATAATTGGAGGGTAACATGTTCTTCCAGGTATCGTCATACATCAGCTTGGTTTTGGCCTAAAAAGTGGTTTAGCTACAGGATTTGAACATTATATTCAATTCTATATGGTATCCTAAAGCTTACCATATATTTGGCATGGTCATCTTGCACCGAATTCAGTTTCTCGTTCAGCATCTTCGTCTCGGCAGCCAAGTTGTCACGTTGAGACTGAAAATGTAAGATGTTTTCAGCGACACCTCCGGAAACCTTACCTTTACGGAAGCCAATGAAGATCGCAAAGTTTCGATTTGTTGAGATGTTTGCGATAGTTCATTCGTCAAATCCATCACTTGTTTTGTGCTGCAATACCCGTTATTGTTTCCATAAAAACGTCAAAAATACCTATGACTATCTTCGTTCATTTTTGTCTGCATTAGCTCTATCCTCTGGCTTTCAGCATCTTGTTTTTGAAGCCGGAGCTCTAAATTTAAATGTTTCCAAATACCTACTTTCAAGAACTTACCCTCAGCCTCTGCTTTAGCGATACTCAACGCTTTTTCCAAGTCCTCGCTGAATTGTTTGGTCTTAAATTAGCATTATTTAATACAGGGTTTTGACAGCCTTACGTTAGACAGCTCTTCTTCGATTTGTACTAGCCGTTTTGAAAATTCATCCCTATCTTTCAGGGCAGATTCGAGCCTTGAAGCCATTGACGCCTTCTCTTCTTTGAAGTTTTTGACCTGAAAAGTCTCAATACTACATTTTCTATAGGCCTACTTGTTTATCATAGTCAGCTAGTTCCATTTGCATCGCTTTTAAGGAGCTGTTGACTTCCTGGGAGGCAAATTTTTCTTTGGCCAGCTTCGCTTCAAACTCGGTTCGGAGGTCTTCAAGCTGAAATGAATAATATTGCCCTAGTTTAACTACAAACTACAACATAGTTGCGTTAAAATTTGAACGTCAGTGCTCACCTCTTGTTTATTATCACTCCCGGGAGTTTCCGCCCTGCCATTACTCGTGGATGCGATAGAAAGTTGAGCCAAAGCATCGTCCTAAAATTTCTATAACGGAGTCTTTCAATTTTTCTATACCTTCTCCTTGGTAACAACAGCCAGCTGCTCTTTCAACGTCTTCTGCTGCTCAGCCTGTTTCTTTAGAAGCTTCAGTAAATCGTCCCTGCCCAGCTGCTGCAGCTTCGAGGGTCCTGCCGCGGTGGCCGCCATTTTTGAGCTTTAGAAGAACTTCATACGGGCTTTAACTGAAAGTTATAAAGTTGTTAGTGGTCGTTGAGCAAAGCTAGGAGGGTCTAATACGCTAATTAAACCAGGTAGACTTGCTAGAAAAGCTTATATTTTGAAGTAAGATCTTAATTGGTAAGGTCTGATTCCAAAAATCTTAAGACCAAGTCAGATACGTCAAAAACGAGTTCCTTTAAGCCTCTTTCCGTAGTTTGTCAATGCAATGTGGCAGGTCCACTAGATGTCTGCCGGATTTTCGGGCGTCTGCCTCTGGCCTTTGGGGTGTTGTATAGCAGCCTACGCTAGTTTTAGATACGCTAATACCAACTTGAATACCGTAATTTTGAAAACAGAAAAGGCGAAAAATCTTCACAAAAACTCGTATAAAGTAAAAACCAACCTTCAAATTAACCTCACCCCTTTGTATAGTATTTATTACCGATTTTTTAGGTCAAAAGTATAATTTTCTATCCACATATTTCTCAACCTTTCGCAACCCTTAATCGAGCTTTTGAGGCTTCATTTTTCTCATCAACACCTGTTGATCAGATGGGAGAAAACATTTTGGTCAGAATCCCTGTGTCCTCGATTACAATACACTATATAGCTCCCAGGCAGGTGGAAAAAGGCCAATGCCCCCTGAAAGTCATGGGTTCACTTTTTGCGAAACCTATTCCTAACCTTTAAAGATGCAAGTCTTCTGGTATTAGCTTAAATATCCCGACAATGCCCTTCATATGGTGTTGGAAGCCGAAAAATGTCGAACCCCAGCAGAAGGTGATCAGCCGGGAGTATCGATGCTGCTGCGATTGGTGTAACGCAAAAGTATTGGTTTTTTCGACCTTTTCGAAAGTTGTAAATAGAGCGGTTTCTTTCTCTACTTTCTACTTGATGTAATGGCGACGATCATTTATGTTTATGCCGTTTATCGAGATCCCATGTGGATTACGGTATGAAAGATCTGAAGCGCAAAAAACCTGGCCTTAGTTCATATTAGCTTCGTTTCTCTGTATTGTCGTTGTTCTCGCCGCGATCGTCATCTGCACCGAACGCCCGATATTTATGCAAATTTATGCAGTAATATACGTAAGCTTTAAAACTCAACTTGGTACTTAAATTTGAGACTAGAAATGACTTTTTAGATTATCGATGTCACCGTATCCCTTGTCGGCTCAATTGTATTTGTCGTCCTGCTAGTGCTCGCAAATTTCGAGTAAGTAGCTAGCTAATAGATAGCTTTAAGTTCAAAGGTATCTGTTAAGAATTAAACGTATCCTCCACGTCACCCTTTCCAGAATCGAAAAAGATATCCAAAAAATGGCAGCCCACGACCAGGAAGTGTTCCGTTATGCCAAGAATTCGGCTTATATCACCTGGTCATGTAGCCTGGGTTTTGTTTTGCTGTCGATTTTCTGGAAGGCTACCCTTGTGCGGTCGTACTACAACTATATACGGTACGCATAGGCAAGCCACTGTAGCTTGATGGAATTTTAGAGATCGTCAACTCTCACTCGAACACTACGGACCGCCGAGGGCTGTCGTCGTCGGGCCGGTGGCTTACGATACTTGAAACCTTGAAGCTCTTGTTAAATCTAATCGTTGTTCCAAACTTATATTTTTTATAATTTATATAAATTCTTATACATTTTTTTACAATTGAAACTCTACAACTCGCTAAAGCGGGACCTCTAGCCCCTATGCGGCAGCTTAAAGGTTACAGTCTGGCCAGCTCTGAATTTGTCGTACCTGTTGATTTTTGACGGTATTCGACTACCGTACCGAGGTCCACATTTTTATAACCGTCAGCGTCAAAAGCTCTCAGCATCCCAAACCGCGCACTGTAAGTTGCCCTGGGAGGCTTGTCCTGAGCGTCAAATGGCTATATCGCAGCCCCGCACCGAGTTTTCAGCTGTCTATCCCAACCAATATCGAGCAGGTGCTAATTAAGACAAGCTTCAAAAAGAGGAAATCGGGCGCAAGTTGTGCTTCCAGGCTTCTTCAAAGGTATCCGCAACAGTTATATCAGCAACTTTTTGGACTTATATTTGCTTGGCTTTAGACCCTTGTGCCAAAGCTTAGGCTTAGGCTTTGCTTAGGCCTAGGCTTATGCTAGTATTAGGCTTAAGCTCAGGCTTAGGCTTAGGCTTAGGCTTAAGCTAGGCTTAGGTTAGGCTTAGGCTTACGTTGAGGCTTAGGCTGAGGCTTAGGCTGAGGCTTAGGCTGAGGCTTGGGCTTGTGCTTAGTATTAGGCTTAAGCTCAGGACGTCTGAAATGTGGTGTTGGAAACCGACAGCTGTCGATCCCATCATAAAGGTCGAGAGTACAAACTACAGATGCTGCTGTGGATGCTGTCAAGCCAGGGTAAGATAAAATTCGAAAAATTCATGAAAATCTTCTAGACCGGCTTTATTGTTTTTACCGTATTCGACGTCATTGGAGCACTTTACTATACCTTCATGCTCATTAACGATCATAGCCTTCTTACCGTAATCTAATTATAAGGTAGCAGAATAATTCTCGCTTTTAGATCATCCAGGTGCTGATCATTTGGATGATGGCAATTTTGGCCATCGTGATCATATCCACCGAAAAACCAGCATTTATTCAGACCTATATCATTATCTATGTAAGCGCTATTAATATAAGTCGATAGTAATTTTATCAATTTACCGATACCTTCCAAACTACGGTAAGGTCGCTTTTAGCTGGGTCAATGCGTCGTCTCGATTGTTGGCCTTATCGTCGCCATCATCCTGGCTTCGGTTGCGAGTTCGCTGTTGGTCTTTTATGAAAAAAAAAACATTAAATATGACGGATTTCTACGCACATCCATGTACATTATAAATTTAGCATGGACGAGGCGATTAAACAAATGGGAGGGAAAGACCAGAGGAGTCAGGCAACGCTACAAGCCGCCAAAAGTGCTGCCTATATGGGTATGCGTCTTAAATTTAGAAATCGAGGGGAAGAAAAGGAGCGAAGGAATGAGAGAGTGAGAGAGAGAGAGAGAGAGAGAGAGAGAGAGAGCGAGAGCGAGAGAATAGAGAGATATATAGAGAGAAAGCAAAAAAAGACAGAAAGAAGGAGCGTGAGCGAGAGTGAGAGAGATAGGAAGAAGGAGCATGAGAGCGAGAGACAGAGAGAGAGAGAGAGATAAAGATAGAGGCCTTATTGTGCATAGTTAATTTAGTCATCGCCGTCACGCTTGTTCTCATCATCGTTTCGATCGTCTGGAAGGGTACACTACTGCGCAGCTATTATCGCTATATTCGGTAGCGTTTTTATCTAATTTCCTAAAGCTCTATTTAATATTCGCTGTATCAAATCTCATCCCCAAGCTACAGAATTATCCTGTTTTTCAGCGATCGCCAGCTTTCCATTGAACATTTTGGAGCTGCTCCCGTATCATCAGCTTGAAAAGCGCTTGAAACAACAAAAAGGGCATGACAACTTGTTGCAACTTTTCAAATAAATTTTGCCTTTGAAGATGTTCTTTTTATTTTTTTCATTTACCGCATGAATCAGCCACAAATAGCGTTTCAATAAATGCATCGATCGACGGAAGTCGGGGTCGACCCGGGCTGTTTATGTGTGACTCGGCGCCCATTGTCAGTCCATTTCACATTGCGAACGGCCAAAAACATTTCACTTCCAAGAGCATTAGCTTCTTCCCTTCTTCTCATTTTAACCAATTCTTCCGGAAATGCCGGTTATTAACATTCCGCATCACGAGAGTGATTCGGAATATCGATGTTGCTTTGGGTGTAGTCATGTTAAGGTAATTTTAACCTTTTTTGTAAAGCTCTTTCACCAAATTTTTACTTTTTAGACCGGATTCTGCATCTTTTTGGCGCTGAACATTTTCGGGACCTTGGGAGCATCTGGGGCGTTATTTGGTGCGCATAACGCTGCCCAGGTGACGCAACAAATAAAAATCTTCAATGCCAAAAAAAATTAGATAACCCACGTGGCAATATCGTGGATCGGGATTGGGTTTGCGCTCTATTTGGTGCTGGCTGAAAAGCCGTGGTTCGCTCGGATTTACTCGATTATTTATGTAAGTTTTGCCATCCTAACAAGGTAGACATTTTAAAAAATAACAGAACTTATCTAAACCAAGCATTAAATTTCTATATTCAATTTTAGCTCATCTTCTTGGTGCTAATGCTGATCGCTGGGGCCGTGGGTATCGTGCTGATTCTTGTGTAAGACAGCTTCTCGATTTTCTTCTAATTTTCTTGCTTTAGAAATAACGACGGCTCGTCACTGCTGGAGCGAATTGGTAAGTAAAAGCTTCTTACAACTCTTTTATAACGTTTTTAAGGACTCTCCTTTCTGTTTACAATTCCGGTGCTTTTTCTCGTTTGGCAGGCGACAGTTGTGCGAGCATATTGTCGATACATCATGTAAGAACAGATACTTTTATTGCTATGGTATTTTTTTCAGAAACGAGTGCAGCTGAGGGGATGAGTTACGACAATATGTAAAATTCGAAGAATTCAACATGATTTTTGTGCCTAATAAAGTTTCCCCGAAATTACCCAGTTTCCTAGACGATTTTGAATGTTCCAATTTTTCTGGGGTGAATTTCCATTGATGTAATGGTTATAAATAAATTTTTACACGATAATAACGTAATCCAAGGCTAAGCACTACAATCCCGAGTTCTTTGGCCCATAACCCAAAAAAATCCCCAAGTGCCCAATCTTTCTCCTCAGCGGGTTGTTTTGGATATTCTTGGTGTCCCCCCCGGCGAGTCCCCAATTTGAGGCAGGGCCTTGTTGTTGTGAAGCCCGAGGGCACCACGAGGACACGAGACACGCATCCGGAAAGCCAACGTGAAAATGCGGGGTGGATAAATGGAGGGGGGTGGAGGACGTCTGCTCGAGAATCGTTTCCAGTAGCAGTCAACAGACCTCTTGTGCCACATGGCTTTAGTCGGGCTGAAGGTCTTCTAAAGCTTGTTGCTACCGTATTTGTCATCTAAAAATTGGGTTATATTGCATTTTAAAGGGTTTTACAAGCCAAGTTCAAACCGAATTAAAAAACGGTAGACAATGGATTTCTTTTTCTGTCATAATTTCTGATTTACTATTGCCCAAGACTTCCTTTTTTGTAGCAAGACCTTGAGAATTCTGCTACCATCCTCTTAACGCCCTTGTTAATCTACAAAATTACAGCTATACGATACGATTTATCCAACAAAAAACCACCTCCAAAAACATGGCCATCTGGTGCTGGCACGCCGTCGGAAATCCGATGACCCCCGTGATCGAAGATAACTATCGATGCTGCTGGGGGACCGGAAAATCAAAGGTATAAAATTTTTCTCAATTGAACATCCGCTAAACTTTCTATAGTTTGGCTACATTACCTGCCTCTGCGTCGATTTGATTCTTATTCTTATCTGTCTCTTCACTACTACGAGGGAGACGGGCCAGAATCAGATGGCTTTGGTACGTCAAAAAAACCTGGTAAATTCAATGTTGATGTTCAGATTGTCATCCTGGCCATCACGATCCCAATCACGATCCTCGGATTCCTGCCATTAATGACCCTAAAACCAATGCATATGCAAATCTACTGGATTTTATACGTAAGTTTTCTATATTTTCCATTTAACGCTGAAAAATTTATCGCTGTAGGTCATGCAAATGTTTGCTACGGTATTGGTGATCGGCATCTTGATCTTGATCTTCTTCGTACTTCCGGAAAAGTATGAATTTAACTAAATGAACCAAAACTAAAATTATACATTTCAGTACCTTCAGCAAGGACCACCATATGGATGTACCAAAGACTGTTGGAGGAATTTTAGGTATGAAAAATCGTGCTTCAGCTTAGAAACCAATCTAGCCATCTGTCTCCTGGCGGCCCTTGTCTTGGCCTATGTTTTCTGGCGTGGCTCGGTGACCTATTCGTATTACAGATACATACGGTAAGAGGGTTGAGTTCGTTAGGGCTTCTATTAGAAAATTGCATAATTCTCTGTTTTTAGCGATCGCCAACTCGCCATCGAACACCAAGGCTCCAACCTCGCCCATGCAGCCGATAATTTGGCTCATGATATTGAAAAGTAGAAAATGGGGCAAGGATACCCGCAATGCATCAAAACAGCTAGCTACCTTGTATAATAAAAAAGTTTCCACTACCTTGAACACACATAAACTTTTAAAATACACAAGACAGAAACAAACCCAGAATTCCCATCCGAGTTCCATAAAAATTCATTCCTTAGTACCAATTTTAATGAATATTTAATAAATTCCCTTGCCATATTCACTCATTTTAGCTTATAAAGATCATGCCTAATCATACTAAAGCTTTTTGCTTATTTTTCATTTATATCATTCTCCGGAAGCATTCCAAACCTCAAAAAACAACAAAACAAACCACTCCCAGAATTCCACATAATCCTGTCCATGAAAAAAACACCGGCGTAAACACATCGAATCCAACAATTTTCACGCCAATTCTCTCGGATGACCGGCATAATTATCGGACACCCCGGCGGCACATTAAAATAGCACCCACCCGGCCGCCGCCTCGAAAAAAACTGTTGTCGCGGCTCAAATTTCGGCGCTTCCCCGGCCAACTACACATTTCAATGTTATTTTAGTCCGGCCAAAAAAAACAGGGAAGAGTGCAGAGGAGACGCGGGAACCATTTTCTTGTTTACGTCCAAAGGAGGGGGCTGGGGGGAAAAGCCCGAAAACAGCCGTCTCGAGTTGCGCAATGCATGCATCCCAGGGCCGGGTGCCCTCGGGGTGCCTTTTAAGGGGCCCCAGCCAGCCGGCTGGATAAACAAGTTGCCGAAAACCGAAAACAAAAGTCCTTCCTGACTACATACAAGTGTAAGTGGGTTCATGATCGAGTGTTTAGGCCAAAAAAGGGAGCCGGATTTGATATTCAGTGGAGATTACCATTAGAAAGATTAAAAAGCCGGTTCGAAAGCTCACTTTCTGCCGATTCCTGCCAATTAGCCCAACTAAACGGGCTCGCAAGGCTCATCGAAGGCAATTCGCCGGAAAACTTGCCGCTGGGGCGGAGTGTTCAGGCCAATTAAGAGAGCCGGATTTGGAATAGCCCAGAAATATTCATTAGGAAGGTAGAAAAATCTGGGATCAGCCGGTAAAAACCTCTTTTTTTCTTAAGTTCTCTTTTTTCTTCGTTTTCTCTTACGGAGCTTGGAAGGCTCATGCTAGTCAACTCGCTCGTGACCTTCTTGCCATGCTAATTAGCCCAACAGACAATGATTTGCCAACCTATTACACGATGGATTGAATTACCCGGCGTAAACGAATCTATTCAATTCAATTATTAAGCTCAAAATCCGCTAGTAAAACACTTTCGTGAATGCGCGATTTTTCAAATGACACCCAAAAATTCAGAACGTGAATCTTCATTGATCAATTGGTCCGTAAGTCGCCAGGACTCGGTTTGATTGCCGATTAAATTGATTTACGTGAAAGTACATTTTCACAAGTATTACAGAAAACGTGATTTCGTGGTTCTCTAAAAATTTCATCTGGCCTCACCCAGCCTCATCTTCATCTCTACAAGACTTTGCATATTTCGTAAGGCGAAAGCTCACCTGTTTCCCCTATACCTGTTGACCATCTCTCCCCATACCACCAATTCAAAGGACAAGCCCAAAAAAAACAATAATAACATTGGCA